TAATTTTATAGAAATGTTATTAAGAAAATCTGGTTTACAGTTGTTACAGGATTATCTTCAAAACAAGAACCTCTCTGGAACGGAAAACAATTTTTCTCAACATTGGCCTGTGTTTGCTCAGAGATTGATTGCGAAACTCACTCCTAAGCTTATGCCATCAGGAGAGTTAGAAGAACTTAAAGCTTTGTTTCAGAAAGAGAAAGGAGGTAATTACATCAAATCTTTTTATAATGATTTTCATTTTTAAATGTTTTTTGATATCTAATTATCTGTTTTGTTTCTTTTGCAGTTAACGTCTGCCACCATTTATTGTTGCATCTATCAAAGATATTCCCGACCCCTGTTGTTGTTAAGGGTCGAAAGCCAAACCACTGGACTCCTACCAAATCTGAAATCCAGTTGGGATTCCTTGGACATTACCATTCAGAGGAGGAATTTAAAACCTTCCTTCATGATAAAGCTGTCAAACTAGCATCTTTCAAGACACCGGTTAGGTTTCAACCATTTGCTGCTATTGTTGGCCCCAACGTTCGCAACGTGCAAAAGTGTTATGTTGTTCTTCAAGCAAATGACATTTATCAAGTGGACACTCCTTTTGCTGCCATAGACTTTACATTTAAAGCAAGTCAGGTGTTGGACGCTGCCTATCCAGCAGAGAGCAAGCTGGTTTGGCTAGTTGTGCAGCAAGCTATTTACAAAGTGTTTTCTGATAATGACAAGAAGATTATTTCACCACAGCTTGTACCAATTCTGAAGCACTTCAACAAGAAGTAAGGTCAGCTTTCTGCCACCATTTTGGTTTTGGCGTGTACTTTCTGCTTTCTGATTCTTTTCATAATTTGTAGCCATGTATTCATGCCCCAGATGTCATGTTTCTTTTGAAAGCCTGAATGGTCTTCATTATCATGTCAAATCGCAACACCCTAAGTTATTGAAATCCTCGATCAGGTGCGGTCAAGCTGGTTGTCCAAGGAGTTTGAATAATTTTGATTGCCTCCGTCGTCATTTAAAATCTGGATGTAACTTTGTAGCTGTGGTGGAGCAAGCCTGTAGTTCTGACTCTACAGATACTGATGTGCATTGTGCGCCTGATGACTCTTTCATAGAGTACAGTCATGATCGTAGTGATGCTGTTAATAGCTTTGTTGATATTTATGACTCTGAAAAGGAATTACCTGACTCTTCTGACTCAACTAATCCGGAAGTTGATTTCATTCATGAAAATTCATTGAAGTTTATAGCTGAATTTTATGCTAATGTTGACTTATCACGATCTGTTGTTCAAAACATTATAGACAAAACTTCTGATATAATATCTGAGAATATATCAGCAGCTTCTAAACTTGTATTGAATTTGCTCAAAGATTGTGATGTATCTAATGAAGTTCAGAGTAAGGTGACAAAAGTGTTCTCAGCTCTTTCTAAGCCTTTTGAAGGTCTTGAAACAGAACATTCCCGTTTTGTTAGTCTTTCTAAGAAAGGAGTTTTTCATTACCCTGAAAGTTTTGTTTGTGGGCGAAATGGGAGGGAAGTTTTGACTGGGCAGTTTATTAGTATGAAACTCACTTTAAAAAGGTTTTTAGAGCTACCTGGTGTTTTACCAGCAGTTCAAAAGTATGTGAATTCACTGCAGCATGAAATGGTGATGGGTGTTATAAGTAATTTTATTCAAGGGGAGTACTGGCAGAAAAAGTGCTCTGAAGACTTTGTTGGAAAATTTGTGCTTCCCCTATTTTTTCATTTTGATGAAGTGGAAATGGGAAACGGCCTTGGCACACATTGTAATATTCATAAGCTTGGTGCTTCGTATGTTAAATGTCCTGGCATTCCCCCAGAGTTCCAATCTATGCTAGAAAATCACTTCTTAGTACTTTTATTTCATGCTTCAGATCGGAAGGCTGATAACCAATTTCTTCAAGCTTCTAACAATGCTGTGATATTTAACAAAGTAATTGATGAAATGAACGATCTCCGTACTAACGGCTTAACTTGTGATACAGATGAAGGTATGTTTACTATATATTTTGATCTAGGTTTAATTCTAGGAGATAATGCAGGACTTCACAGTATCTTAGGTTTTGTGGAGAGTTTTAACGCAGCATTTCCTTGTTTTATTTGTAAAGTCACTAATGATGAAAGCCCGTCCCTGTGTGTTGAGAAAGCAGAATTGCTTCGAACTCCTGACAATTATGCATCTGACTTGGCTTTAGACAACGTGAAGTTGACTGGAATAAAAGAAGAGTGTGTTTTTCATAAAATCAATAATTTTCATGTGACTGAAAATTATGTTTGTGACTGGATGCACGATATCTTAGAAGGTATTTGTAAATACAATTTAGTTGGAATTTTTGAAGCGTTTATATTTGAAAAAAAATACTTATCTATTGAGAGACTTCAATCCATAATGTTAAGTCATGACTATGGTAATGTAAGTAATAAGCCTCCTGTAATATCACGTGAAGATTTCACTAAGAGTAACATGAAGATTAGAATGTCAGCAAATGAAATGCTAGTTTTTGTTCAGCACTTGCCAATTATGATTGGTCATCTAATCCCCAGTGATGATGACCATTGGAAATTGTTATCTATGTTGTATGACATTGTATTGTTTCTTCTGTCAACTTCATTTACAAGTGAGAATATTCTTCATCTAGATTACTTAATTGTTCAGCACCATTTACTGTATGTAAAGTTGTTTGGGGAGACACTCAAGCCTAAGCATCATCATCTCTTACACTATTCTCGAATAATCAAATTATGCGGTCCTCCCATTCATTTTTGGAGTATGAGGTTTGAGTCAAAGCACAGATTTCTGAAACGTTATTCTAATGTATGCTTTTCCCGAGTCAACCTGACATTGTCCATTGCTCTTAAAGTCGAATTAAACTTTGCCTTCAGGGTTCTTTGTCAAAGAGGCTTCTCGCAGAGATTTTCCATGAGTTCGAAATATGAAGTTGTTTGTGGTGCTTTGTCAGATATTGATGGATTTTTAAAATGTGCTAGAGTTAAGTTTGTTAATGTGAATGGTGTTTGCTACCGCATTGGAACTTGTGTTTTGCTGTCCCTTGACTCCCAGGGAAATCCAGTATTTGGTATCATTGAAGCTATTTTTGTCAATAGTAAAAACAAAGTTTGTCTAGGGTTAAACAAGTTGGTTTGGGATGTGTATGATACGCATCGCCATGCATATATAGTTTATAAATCATATGAGATAGTTAATGTGCTTTTAGAAAATTTGCCCAGACATTTGCCAGTTCTGCTTCATACCCTGGCTTGTCAAACACTAGCTGTCTCATTACGCCATGCCCTATAATATTTTTTGCAATATGAGAGGTGCCTTGCAGTTTGTATGCTTTAAGTCAATGTTCTCTTTTGTACTATGTTATGAGAAAGTATGTGAATAAATACAATTACCATAAACACCGTTCTTATTAGTTTTAAACCTTATATTTATATGTTCAATTAGTAGGTGCAGAATACAGTGAATTACACAGTTCGGTTAGGCACACAAACATGGGAGAGCTGGGGAAAAGTTATGAACAACTCTAGGGAAAATAAGGCTTATTGCTGGGGAAAAGTTATGAACAACTCTAGGGAAAATAAG